AGTTTTTAGTTTTTTGTTACTGTACATTTAGCCAGATTTGTTGCCCAGAGTGCTGTCTGAGAAATCTTTTAGCTTTTGCAGTAAATGGTTATTGTTAAATGACAAATAAGTCATCACTGACCCACCGCAAGCATTTTCTTTCATGGAACGCATAATTACATTCTTAGCCTCCACACAATTCTCACAGTCATTTGAGCGGCGAACTCCCTCGGCTTATTCTCGTGCGTCATTGAGACGTCTAATTTCCACTGTCACACTCTCACTCATTAATTAAAGTATAATTTAGGATGCTAATTTGAAAAGATTCTACTTTAACTCCCAAACTCAATAAACGTTTTGCAAAAATATATTCGCAATTTGATTTATGGTGCTGCCATAAATTTGTTCTTCGCATAATCTATGACTTGTTTACGAACGCTGGGGGGAAAAGGCCATTTCTAATGCCTTAAAAGAAATAGAGATCAGTTAAGCCCTCTCATTGACTTGTTCAGGCCTTTCTCTATAAGGCCCCAGTGATTCGCTTTGATTAGTGTGGTGGTGGTCCAAGTATATCTCTCAGTGAGTCTTTGAAACTCAATTCAACATACAAAGCCCATTTTATTTAGGATGCTACATGCATTTGCATGAGCACAATCAAAGCAATTTAGAAGTCACGGCTTCCACTGCCTGTATTCTGATCGAGCTGAACCCTGTGTGATGGAGCCAGACCCCCAGCACAAATGGAAACTGTACCAAGAATTAAACATGAGGATGAATCAGCTGATCCAACCTCAAGGTCTTTCCCACACCCCCTGCGTTCCTCACAGGAATGTGCAAGAGCTAAGACTCTGCATCCTGCACCCCACTGCTTGCATCTCTGGAACGTGTGGGGTTGCAAAGCTACAATGCGTGCTCTGACACGCTGAGGTCACGCAAATAAAGGACCGAGTCGTGTAAGTAGCTGGTTGATTTTGCATAATTGTGCACTGCACTGACGGGCTTGGCCCATTGTGCCCGAAAACGAACCACCCTCTCTCATTCTATAAGTGGGCCAGGGTTTTGTACATGCCTGAAAGACTGCGATGTAGTCCATGAACTCAGATAATCGAGCTTTTCTTCATCAAACGTGACCGAATTACACACTTCTGTCATGCACTGTCAATAAGATTTAGGTTTATATGGCCGATTTAAATATGGAAATGGCAAGCAGCTAGCCAAAAGCCCTATTGCGATGGTAATTTGTAATGAATATTTCTGATTTCATTATAATAACAAATCACTGGCTTGTGAAACCCTTCTTGCGCTGGCATCGCTGTCTGGTTTTATGCCGTACGGTATAACCAAGTCTGACAGATCATATTTAACATTTTCAACTCTGCAGACTAACTTAAACCCACAAAACTTCTTTTTTTTTTTTCAAAAAGCTTTGCCAGTTGGTTCCCATTGCAGTGTGTGCTGTATTATAAAAAAAATAACATTGTTATGTTCTTCAACAATTTCCCAGTCATGTTCTCGATTCAATGCAATACCACAATATAACTGGAACTCACGATGACCAGTCAAAACAAATACAATATTCCATCATTCCCAATTACCTAATTAGAGGTTTACGGCACACAAACGTCTTTGGAAACACTGGTTACAGCAGTACCTATGGGACCTGAGCGCTTGTTTGCCTCTCACCGCTCTCTCGCTTTATAAATAGATCCAAACAATGGCTCAAAAAAAACATTGTCTACTCTGTAGACCGCAAAAGTGTCAAAAGCCAGAGAGTGAAAATGACAATGGAGGGTGCCAGAGGAAGAGGGGTCTGGCTCTGAAAAGCTTGTATTCAGCGTAAAACAGACATTGTGTTGAAGGACATTGATACTGACATTCTCTTTGGAAAACTGACCACAATTAATGAGCAAAGTTCTTATTAAAAAACAGTTACATCTCACCTCTTTTTTCCCGTCAGTAAATGTTGACCTGTCAAACACTAAAAGTCTTACACTGAAAAAATGAATATGCTTTATCTAATCAAAAATTCCTTAATTCCTTAAACAGACTGATCTCATGAAGTAGCGTGTGTATGAGACGCCAATTCGTATTTCCATTTTTGGCGTGCTATCAAGACGCATAATCGCCTTTTAGCGTGTTTATGAACGCCGTTGACTTAACGTTATATAAATATATGACTTACCTCAACCCCATCCCTAAACTTAACCGTCACTGGGGTTAATGGCATTTATCACTGGAGATTTGACTGCGTGTTTAGACACGCGGAATGAAGCGGACGTTAATGGCGTAGACATATAAGCATACACGCGGATACACGCGGATAGCACAAAATGCGTGGAGATAACACGCCACCTGACTCGAAAGTGGCGTATATGTTTACGCAAAAGTCATGATGTCATGTTGCCTTAAAAGTTTACCATCTTACAACAACCAAAAAAATAAACATTTATGTCACCATTATGGTGATCAGTGTTTGTTTTAGGTTTGTTTTACAATTACGGTTTCCTCCTTCAGTGATTCTGCTTGTTAACATCAGGTGTCTTCAATGTCGGCAATATAAAATAAAGAGTTCTTGATTAATCGTTGACGTCTATCTGTTAGTGAGACATTTTTTTTTTTGGTTTAAAGTTTACTCATTGTAAATGGTTAACTTTTAAGGAATAATTTGATTAACGTTTACTCAATTCTAATTTGTTCAATTTAATTAATAATATTGCTTGTAATGTTGCCACAATTCTATTGATTAGATAAAGCATATTCATTTTTAAAGTGTACTATACAATTCTGATTTGCTGTTAAACATACCTACTTTAAGCATCAAAGTTAAATGTAAATATATCACAAATCAGGTTGTAAAAATAGCAAAGCTCATATAAAATGAATAAAAAAAACAGCTCTTATTTAGTTTAACCTTGATAATCATGATCTGGGGGTTTTTTGGAACTTGCGATGACCATTTATTATTATAATTATTATTATGAATAATACTTAATAACCATAATTAAATAATTTGAGGTTCTCTTTTGTGGCCACTGTGTCACTTAAATAAACTTGAAAAGTACTTGAAACAGACTAAGTAAACTGACTTGTTCCTAATTGCTTTTTTAGTACCCCATGGGCCTATTTAAAAAGCCAGGGGTCTAACTGACCATTGATGACCAATGAGGGATGAAGCCAAACAACCGGCAAGCCTCCATTTGGAAGAGAGCACTTAGTCTAACATGCAGAACTGCAGGCCTACTCATGGTTATTTCCATACGATCACGCAGTGCTTTTGCTAACACTAAACCAGTCAGTTGTTTTCTGTCAGACAGACTCTGTTTCAAATGCTGAGCATTGATTTAAGGCCACACACACTCTGCCCTCTGTTGATGCTTCATGAGTCAACATGCCGGGTCCGGGCTCATGAGAAAGACTGTCTTACAGACTTTATTTAGACCCTTGAAGAATGTCCGCCTCCCTCCCAGTCAATGCCACAAGTCTTTCTCCATCCAGTATTCCCAAGGTGAATGTAATGTTTTATGGAGTGTTGGAGAGGACAAGAGGGATGCTTTCCAACACCGTCTGCCTCAATCTTCAATTTTCTCAGCAATTTTATGTTTTTTAAAACAAAGTACAAAAAGCATGCTCAACGAGAATAAATGTAGGGCAGGACTTTATTTTATTGATTAGAAGGTGCTTTACAATAGCCAGCATGGACCAGTGACATAAACAGAAAAAAGAACTGCTTCAGAGGAAGGGCAATTAAAAATAATACTTTTCAAAAATATTATTTCTATCTTAGATCACAGTAAAACCAATGCAATGGTTAGGTTTAAAATGTTAATAAAGGAGCCACCGATGACTCATCAATGACATCACTCATCATCAATTAGCTCAGGGTCACGGTCTCCACACGTGCTTCCCGCGGGTCTGTCGGCGGCAGCTGACTTTCTCACAGGCTGCATGTCATTACGGAGCTATGCGTAACACAAACAATTCCTCGCTCCCAGAGTGTTTATCTCGTGGCGCAGAGCACGGTGTGCCCACACATCAAAGTCAGAGGGAACAGACGCTGCTCAGCGGCAGCAGCTGCGCTCGGATCCTGTCCACACCCTTCCTGTTTGCTGCGGTCTACCTTGGGGCTGTTATTTTCCCCACAGAGAGACGATAACCTCCCTCTGCCTCACTCCCTTCAGCACCACCGACACCGGCCACTACACCGCAACAGCAGCCGCTCGGTTGGTCAAACCTCTCTGAGCTCCGGCCCTTGTTTCCTTATTTACCAAAGAGCGGGATTTTGGCTAGTCCAATGCCGTATTTTGAATGTAAACTTTTCAAACTGCCAGAGACAATAATGCATTTTCACATAATTTACTTTTGCAGAAATTATTATATAAAATATCATGTTTTAAATACGAAACTTCTTATTTTTACAAGATTTTAATTGAACAATTGAACATTGGTTACATATTGTATACAGTTTGTGTATATATACAGTAGGCCTGTATGTAGCCTATATATGTACCGGTTTTTATATGATAATTTTTTATCATATAAAAAGATATATATATATAAAATAAAATAAAAAATATAAAAGCTTGTATATTCAGTAATTTCACTTAAATGGCAATGAAGATTAGGCCTACATATTAATTGTCGTTTAAGTGAAATTACTGAACTTAAATATACAAGCTTGATAAAAAAAAGTATCATTAGAAGAAAATTTTAAATGAAACTTTTGCATCTGATCTCTTCATATATATATATATATATATATATATATATATATATATATATCTTCTAATGATCATTTTAAATTTTAACTTTTAAATTTAGGGTAATTGTTAGCCATGGTATAGATTATGTCTTGGGAATGCATGAACTAAAAATGTATATTGTGAATGCAACATATAAGTGAAATGTAAAAATGTATCTGTTTAAAGGCCTGTGATTTTAATATAAGAAGGAAAAACTGTTTAGTGAAGACTGTCCCTAGAAGATCTGAACTCATTATCTGTCACCATCTCAAACCCCCACAGCATTTTCCAGCTCTGGGTCAAGACCTTCATAACGCTGTTTCCTCAGTCAGAATGGGCCATGCAGATTTCCCTGTGAGAGAAAGGGCGATTGAGTCTCCAGCTGCCATCACACAAAAACATCTTCACAGGCATGCGGCAGCAGCAACCGTGGTGAGCTACATCAAATAGGGTTGCTCAGACACCCCATAGACTTTCAACTTCAGAGCCACATCTAGACTTTTCTTTTGACCCCCTCTGTCTCGTAGACCACCACACAGGGTCAGAGAGCACTGTTACACTGTCCTAGGGACTTTCCGTGCCAGTTCCTCTGTGATGTGTGGGCAAACAATATTTCAATGTTCCATTTAAAGTACATTTAGTATTTTTTATTATTATTAAAAATCCTACACATAAGTTATTTAATCATTCAAATGATGTACCGTTTTCTATCTGTAAATCAATAATTATCTGTAAATTAATAATTAATACAGTATTTGTGCTTTTATAACGTGTAAAACAAACATCAACACAATGATGTGCTTTGTATGAGAGAAAACACTACGTTCCATTCAAACGTTTGGGGTCGGTATGATTTTTTAAAAATGTTTTTAAAGGCTGTCTCTAACCACAGCTGTATGTATTGGATCAAAAATACAGCAAAACATTAATATTGTGGAAATATTATTACAATTTAAATAAATATTTCAATATTTCAAATGTAATTTATCCCTGTGATGATAAAGCTGCATTTTCAGCATCATTAGTCATGTCTTCAGTGTCACATGATCCTTTAGAAATCATCATTCTAATATGCTGATTTGATGCCAGAGTCAAAAATGCGGTTTTCAATATTAAAAACAATTCTGCTGCTTTAATTTTTGTTTTAAAAAAATCATAAAACTCAAAAAATGTTTCTTAGATAAGGCTTATGTTTGAGCAACTTTTATTGACATATTTTAAAATTTGTCACTGCCGTTGTTTTGTGTTAAGATGCACACCAGTAATGTTTTTTTCTTAGCCATGTTTATAAAAGCTAATTAAATGTCCTAATTAAGCTGAAGTCATGGCTTGATTTAAGAAACCAGGCCTTATCTGTGAAACCAGGCCAAAAAATAGTATATTAATCTCAGAAATGTACAGATTGCACCTTTAATTACAATTAGTAAAGGCTCCTGTGATCATAATCAACCCAATAGGCAAAAACGTGTTATTTTGGATGGATGATTTTTGCAGATAGTTTCTGTTAATTCACTCACTGTTTTGTGTATGTGTAATTTTTATATTCCCATGCAGTTTATCTTCTGGAAAATGGGATGGCAAGCCAATCAGTGAATGTATGTCTTGGGCACCAGTGAGATTGAATAATTGAACAGGAGGCATACAGACATGACAACTTTTGTATGTAATGGATTTTTGTTTGCCTTTACATTTTAATAGAAATGTAGAAATTACATTTCTAGTGTGCTGCAATTTTTATTTAAGTCATAAATGCTATTTTAAACACTAAATCAGATGTGTCTCATACCTGTGATGTGACATCACACAAACCCTCTCATGTCTTGTTTTATAGTCTATAATTCACACATGAAAGACCTGGCCAGCACCTGTCATGCAAAACACAACAAGCTTTAATTATCACGGAAATGTCATTAAAGATTAGCAGAAGCGTCTGTTACATGTTTTACAACCTTGACATCCAACTAGTTTAGCTACTGAGGGCTTTTTTGGGGTTCTATAGCAAATTGCATGGATGTTTGAGTGCAACAGGACGTATCATATCAGCTTGACCATCAGGATGTGAGTTCTCAGAGGTCTGGAAGCACCTAGTGTAATCCAAAGTAAACATTCAGGCTGATGGAGAGAGAGATCCTTACGATAGAAGCAGCTCAGACAGTGAGAGCGTGTCAAGGGTTTGCTTCACCTTCTTGTCTCAGTCAATAATCATATCAGATTCACAAAGAAGTGTCAAGGGTTGCAGGGATTCCCTAAACTTCCCTCAAACATTTTAAGGAATAGTTCACACAAACATGAAAATTGTCCTAAACATTTTATTTAAGGCTAATCACTGAAATAGTGGGCTGTTCATTATACACAAATATATTGCATGATTGATGTACTTTTATGGTGCTTTTATAGTTATTAGATATAAACTGTTATGTAAAAGATCTATTCAGAGCCTCTTGTCACTAAATAAAAATAAATGGTTTGCAGTTATATGAATGACATAGTTTTGAAGTATCCTTTTAATATCAAACATTGTTCCCATTTAAATAGCTGTTTTCTATTTGAATATTTTAAATTTATTACCATGAAGGCAAAGCTCAGCATGACTACTCCAGTCTTCAGTGTCACATTTCAGAATTCATTCTTATATGCTAATGTGCTGCTCAAGAAACATTTATTATAAGCAGTGTTTAAAATGGTGTGCTTCTTAATATTTTTTGTGTAAACAGTGATACTTTTGGTCAGGATTCAAAAATTGTATTTGAATTTTTTTGATCGATTTAATGCACACTGTAAAATTGAATACGCTTTATCTAATCAATAAAATTGTGGCAACAGATATTACAAGCAATATTATTAATTAAATTCAACAAATTAGAATTGAGTAATAATTAAACAAATTAATTCCTTAAAAGTTAACTAATTAAAATGAGTAAAGTTTACACCCAAAAATTCAACAAAAATATCTGAACAGACGTCAAAGATTAATTATGAACTATTTATTTTATATTGCCAACATTGAAGACACCTGATGTTAACAAGCAGAATCACTGAAGGAGAAAACCGTAATTTTAAAACAAACACCGATCACCATTATGGTGACTTAAATGTACGTTGTTTTGGTTTGTTTGTTGTTGTTGTAAGTTTTACTCATTTTAAATGGTTAACTTTTAAGGAATTAATTAGATTAATTATTACTCAATTCTAATTTGTTAAATTTAATTAATAATTTTGTTTGTAATCTGTTGCCACAATTTTTTTTGACTAGATAAAGCGTATTCGTTTTTACAGTGCATCCTTGCTGAATAACAGTATTAGTTTTTTTTTTTAAAATCACCTTAAACTTTTGAATAGGAGTGTAATTATATAATTGAAGTTGGTATGTTCTGTTCTTATAGCCATTGATCATTCTTCAGCATGGCAATATCCTTAGGATTGTCTTTGCCAGCTGCCTGTCATCGCCAGGTGCTTACCCTGACTGACCCTCTCTGGAAGCCAGCTCTCTGATCTCTAACCGAACGCCAACCTCTGCTGCAGTAAAGCCAGAGTGGCCAGAGTAGCTTGACTTATAATGTAGCTGACCACTACAGTATATTACAGGAAGAAAGAAAGTGTGGCTACAAACAATGAAAGCCACAGCTGTTGCCATTCTGTACGGTAGTGCTGCTAGCGAACTACACTTCCTTTCAAGATGGCATCGGCTTTATGAATGAGACTGATGTCTTTTGACAAAACTGATATTAGCACCTGGAGACATATTGTATTCGACTTTAAAAACGTACAGTATTTTGCAGCAGTTAGATTGCTGAAATAATCCTGTTGCCTATTCAAAAACTGACCTACCATTTACAGTCTAAACTTTATAGGCATCATGTAAATAGTTTGCTCAATTAAAGTTGATAATGTTCAACTTCTATATTCATTTTATGAAGTATACACTTGAAACATAAGCAAACAATCAACCCACACAATATTTACACCACAACCCAGTGGCGTGTGGCAGACTTAAGAAATGAAAAGTCAAGTCTCTCACTTTAGGGATATTTTACTGTAGTTCTCTAAATGCATTTCATTTGGAGTTAATTTAGATACTGTGTTAACATTTTTACAGGTTTGGATTAAATGCAAAAGAATATGTTTTAATCCTATAGTCATATAATCTAATTTTAGCTTGTTTGTATAAAAAGACCAATTTACTAAATCAGAGGTCCATAATACATGAGGTTAAAAATGTTGCTTAAATTATCCTCCTGGTCTTCCCAATTAAGTAGGTTAAGCAGCCACACTGTAAAAAAATATTGTTGGTTTAACTAAAAATAGTAAGTAACCTGGTTGCCTTAAAATTTTAAGTTCATTGAACTGGAAAAAGTGAGTTAATACAATGAAGGAGAATAATTTAATCATCAGAAACTCAAAATTCTATGTTATCTGAACTAAATAAATTATTGAAGTTGATTTGACAAAAGAAAAAATGTTGTGATTACTAATCATGAAAAGATTTTTTTACAGTGCATTGATATGCCAATCAAAAGTCTGGGGTCTGTAAGATTTTCTTTGTGTTTGAATTGACTCCTGATGGCAAAGCTGAATTTTCAGCATCATTACTCCAGTCTTAAGTGTCACATGATCCTTCAGAAATCATTCTAATAAGCTGATTTGCTGCTCAAGAAACTTTTTTTTTATGATTGTTAAAAAAAACTGTTGTGCTGCTTAATATATTTGTTGAAACCATAGATTTAAGTGTGACCACTATGTCAGCCTTTATGAAGCCTATAGCCTTCATTCAATTTTCAGACTGTGCTTTGTGTATTTACATAATATAGTGCACTGTGCACATGGAAGCAAACAACAAACCCACAGATTATTTACACCAACATCAGCTTAGGCCCTTGAATAAGATGCTTTCTTTTCAGTCAGTACTTATGGGGTAGCATTCCACAGTATGTGTGTCAGTAAAGCCATTTTGCTCATAAACTACCGTCAATCCCTGAAATACCTGATCTGTTCCTCAAAGCAGTCTCATGCAATTGTGTTAAACAGAAAAAAAATGTGGGCATGGAAGGTCATAACGACAAACTGTTCTTTATGCACTTTAAATAAATGAAATTGTGGCTTACAGTTGTATGAAAAGGATTATGTCTATGTCTGTAACAAATAACATATTTTATTGAACTTTTTCAGCTTTGATAGACAGTGACAAGTCTTCTACCAATGGGAAAGACAGCGAGTATCTGGGAGCTGTCGTGGACACCTCTCTCGTCTCTCCTGGTGTGAATGTAGCAAGATTCCTGCAGCTGATCGCGGCTCTTCTGATGACAGGTATTTTCCAGGGCTCGGACCCTCAGTCCAGGTTTTCCCCTGCAGGGTGTATGAAGAATTAGCCGACGTGTTGTTGATCTGGGGTCTGCGTATGGTCAGCTGGTGGCCCTCACTCAGCTTGATAAGATGAGCTGAGCCTGCTGTTGTCACATTCTCCTCCAGATTCAACAGTGCTGTCTCGGGTGATAGCAGTAAGACCAGAAGGCCTGGGGTCAAGCATGTGCGCTACTGCTTTTCAACTGCTCGCACTGATAAGTCAAAGTGTCTGGACTTCCAATACAATGATGGGGACTTGCCAATCAGACCTAAAATAAACCACACACAGATTTAGGCTAGTTCAAAATTAGTCTCAAAATTAAACTGCATTATCACCTTCCATGTAGCCCCCAAAAATCAGGGATTAGGTGAGAACAGTGGAGAAGGATATATGAGATCTTTTCATTCAGAATCCTACCTTACTACAGTAGTTGTGAAAAAACAGTAATTAGGCAGTTAAACATTTTTTTTTAAATCAATCAAGCACGAATTAGCTGTGAGTTCTTCCTCTTAAAGAATTTCATATTCAAATAAGTAACTTAGTTAACATTGTATTTGGATACACTACTTTTAAAAATTTGTAGCCCTCAATCGGGTCATGGGGTCTATATGACCCCAATCGACTTTTACTTAATAAAAAAAGGTTCCCTTCATCTCAGTGGAATAAGATTTTGTGACTTTTCATACATTATCTATTTATACACACACACACACACACACACACAAAACTGGGCTTGATTCGGTTGATCTGAAAATATGTAAAAAATGTTTACACTTCTGGTCTTCGGGGTCAATATGACCCCACATTGAAATGAATGGGAAAAGTAAAAAAAAAAACCTAAATATATTTTCTTCATGTGTCAAAAAAAAAAAAAAAAAAATCCGGCATAAATCTGAAAATTTTTACACAGAAATAAAGGCCTAGTACTAGAGCATAAATGCAATGTATCATAAAAAAATAATATTTCATATGCAAGCTAATGGTCTAGTTGAGGAATTGTGTGGTATATGGATACAAAAGTACTTTATATCTCCAAAAACACAGCATTAATGAATAGATGAGAAGTAAACAAAAAAAAAATTATATATTAGTATGATTAAAAATGTATATTTTTTGTACAATTACTCAATCAATTGTTGGGGTCGTATAGACCGCGAAAACCCAGAAGTCTAAACAGGACACGAAGGCCATTTGAAGGTTAAGATAGGACGCATACAGTAGTTACAATTACAGTAAAGATGTGTAATGTTATAAAATTTTCTCTTTATAAAATCTCTTTATATTCATCAAAGAATCCAGAATAAAATATATCGTGGTTTCCAAAAAAAAAATTACATATCACACTTGTTTTTAACATTGATAATGATAATAAATGCTCTTGACCACAAAATCAGCAAACGAATGATTTATTAGGATCATGACACTGAAGAATGGCTGCATATGTTAAAATGGAAAACCTTTATTCTAAATTGTGATCATTTTTCATATATTACTGTTTTACTGTATTTTTGACCAAATAAATGCGGTCTTGGTGAGCATAAAAGACTTTAAAACCACTGCAGTATTCTCGTCTGCCGCTTTTATAATGCTTGAGCTCTTTAAAGCAGAATGAATTCTGATTGGCTGATTATCGAATGATTGGCTGTCAATGTTTATATTGTTCATATTGTTTCTCTGTGCCATTACTGTTATAGCTGTGATGTGAACTCTGCTATTTTTTTTTTATATTTCGATTTTTAGAACTGTCTTTACCGTTATATTTATCGTGTGAACCTTGGTGTGAACGGGTCTTAACGCTTTTTCAGATAAACCCACCCTAAAGGTCACATGAAAACAAAATACTCAAAGTGCATTGAATTTCTCTTAACCATGATCAACTTCATTGTCATTTATTATATAAGTCCATCACTCTGTAGCACACCCATCGCCATTTCACAATCATGGGGAGTGGAAGGATGCATGGCTGATAAAGAACCAGAGGGTGCAGCCCAAAACAACAATATGGAGCATTGTTTATCACCAGGCAGTGACACACCATATCAGTGTTTTGGCTCTGTGGGGTCTTAGCCTGGTAGAGATTAGCAGAAAGCTCTTTCCTGGATCTCTCTCTAACCTTGTGCTTCCTCACTGCCTGTGATACCCAAACGTCTTAAAACTCAGGGAAAGATTGGTGAATGGCTTCGGCTACTGCCCATACTGAGTTTGCGGTGGTGTTTTCCTTAGCACAAGATAAACTGTGCACAAGCTCATGTTTTGAAAAACATAATTCGCCTTCACAGATAATTGTTAACTGATAAATGTTCAATTTTAACCCCTATCTTTCAAGAGGGTTATATATCATCTTTGTTTAAATATTTAAATAATATGTAATATAAATAATAAAATACAAACAAGTAATGGTTAGTGCAGGTGTCCCGAGGTGTCCTGTGTTTGTTTTTTAGTGTAGAAGATTATCTTGTCGGCCTTCACTGACTGGTGCCACGTGTGCAAGCATATATCTTTCTCTGACTGTGGTTGTATCCTGCCATGTAGAGTAGTGATTTCACAGTGGTCAGGTCACTTAATGTGTAGCTGATGACTTCCTCTTTCTTGTCTGTTAATTACTTTAACACATTTGCCTGTCTGCTCAGACTGGGGTTGTCCAGGGCAGCTGCTTCCCTGAAAGCACAGCGAGCCAGGAGCCACTGATATGGGAGCAGAGCCAGACCGCTTATGCAATTGGATTAAACAGTTAAAAGAGTTTCAGTGTCAAACAACGCTTCTCCGGCATTAAATGTTCCGGTTTTCCATTTTCACTGTAAAACGGTAGGGGGAACTATAAGGCATTTTCTGGAAAAAGTACTTAATCTCCTGATCAAAACACATTCGAGGAAGAAGAAGAAACAAGCGATATCATATGCAATCACATGCGTTTGTAAAATATTAACATTAAACGGCATATAAATCAAAACTGCCTAATGTTGACCGAGGAAGTAGTATAGAACTGTGCAACCTTAGGGTTGCTGATGGACTTTTGTGTCTGAATCCGATTTGGATCGCTATTTTCTAAAAAATCTTCATTTCTCTATTTGCTCAATGTATCTTTTTTTTTATTAAACTATTCCCCCTTATTCAAGTGTTGAGAAAAATAATGCATTATGAGAATGCATGTTGAGAAAACGAATGCATTTGTTTTTTAAGCAGACAATTTGTTCTTTCTTTTAATATTGCATGTTCAGATATTCATACAACAAAATACTCTAGGGGCCATGAAATTTTTGTGAAAATAATAAAAAATGCTGGCGGTGGCTGGCAACCTTTTTTTTTTTTTTTTTCTTTTTTTTTTTTCACCTGGTGGGCAAAGTGAAAATATAGCTAATGACTGCAATGTGAGAACTATTGATATATAATATGTATTGATGTGAGTTATATTATAATATATTACTGTATAGGTATGAATATTTTAATCTTGGTTGTGCGGCATTCAGAATTTGAATGCTTTTTAAATGTAATGTAATGTTATTTATTTAATTTTTAATTGCATTTGAATTGGTACCAAACCAAAAAGGGTATGGAATTGTTTGAATGGATCACATTTAAAAATATATTATGTATAATGATATACATAAATGAATTTAAATAAATGAAGCTTTCGATGAAAGACATGGCTTAATATAAAATACATTTATTCATAATGGATGAGTTAGTGCTAAACTAAACTAAACTGAAAATTGTTGTATTTCTGTAGGTTGAAATGAAGTTGAATTGAAATCCAAATGAAGCCGTCTCAGCGCTGCCACAATGATATACAAGCATTCTTGTGGCATGTTTAACTATTTGGATCAAATGTTCAAATGGTAAGGAAATTAAAAATACCGCAAAATGTTAATTTATTTTAGTATTTAGCTCTAGAACTTTGTCTGAAGAGCTGACCTGTCGGTTCCAGGTTTTGGCAGTGGAAACAAAGCTATTGTGCAAATAACGAAGGTGCCACAGTGAATAAAAGGGATGCATAACAATTGGTTACCAATGTTTGAACAATGAGAGCTGAATGCATACGGGGAAACCTATGGCTTCCTCAAGCTCATGTATCCTGACAGGAAGCTCAGGTCATATGACGGGAAATAGAGAAGGGGCACCTGTCTGTGTGTGGTCACACTCCATTTTGGTATTATATTTTTGTATTATAATCCCACACCAGTACACACTATAGCAGAGTTTAAAATGTCTTTTAAAGACTGATAAACTTGTTTACATGAGTACATGCTCCCTTGATAGTCATGCAAAATCACCACAATGATGTTGTTCTGATGCTGACATATTTCTGACAGACACTTTGTGTTGAGCCAAATGGCACTTGCAGTGCAGCTTAGTATGTTTCTGAGCGTAGCATGCGAGTTGATGAGTGGCGAAGCAAAAGGCCAGACACAGTACGATGGAAAGCCGTGACAGAAATACTGCCCTGAATCTGAGAATGGCAGGAAGGGCCCTATTATTCTGACCCATTCTCTTCAACGTTGGCCCATACGACGCCTGGAGCCTGTCTGCCATGAACTCGCTTCCCAGGATTTCCGACTCACGGCCGGCGTTCCAACTAAAAGCCAAATATTTCACTCCAGAGACGCACAAGGCTTCCTGATATAGGATGCACTTGCTTGTCTCTCTGTGACCTTAAACACTAATAAAGCGCCTATAATATGACTTTGGAGTCAGAAGTCCACAATCCTAGGATATCGTGAGTTTGTGGCTGTTCGCTCTTCCACTGACAGGAAAAATAAACAGATGCCCATTTGTCTCGGACAGATTGGATAACAATGAGAAAGAAGTAGCTTATTTACTCAGGGGTTAATTGTTTCAGTTTGGCGCTGAAATGAAACCTTGTTGTGTTTAAATCCAGAAATCGCTTAAAATCTTTATTGTCTGATCGGCAAGATCAGTCGATCAGTTATTTCTGATTAGCAAATGTTTTTCATTCATGCAAAGAAACTTCATTCACTAATCACAAGAGCATCCCTTGAGGAACAAGAAAGGATGGAGCTAGATTATGATCTCTGTAACGTCCTAGTTTCTTTTACTTCTGTTGGTGCAGGCAGTTCTTAAAAAGCAGTTTAAGTCAGCCTTTTATTTTCAACACTTCTCAGCTGTTCAGACCAGATGAAGACCAGTTTAGGCCTGCCTTGAGGACCTGTTTGAGCTGGTTTTTTTTAGCCGGGTTACACCGTTATGGTATCATAACATTAGCATAAAAGTGAATCCTGTGGCCAGTTGCATAAACATATCCATTATGTTAAGAACTAGTGTGACCAATGGGAATGACATATTTATGTTGCTATGCAACTGACTTAAAGTTATTAACTGTCTTAAAAAAAAAAGTTAGATTACTAACTTGAAAGACTAGTCTTAGCCGTTTATGCAGCTAGCCACTGGTTCTCAGATGAATTTACTTAAGAGCAATAAATGCCCATGTTTTCCCAACCATTTTACTTTCACTATACTTTAATTTAACAGGACAAATGTTTGTTTGCCCTAAATCTAAAACAGGTCAGTGTACTCTCAAGGAAGAGTCGGGGCTGAGGAAGATGCTGCCCAGGCAACAGTGTCCGTTGCCATGAAGCAGTTAACTTGGTTATAAAAAGGCAGTTTGCGAGTGACTAAGGGCAGCCTTGTGTTCAGAGAAGGGCTTGAGATTGTGGCTGTTGCTGTTGTTTTCATTGTGTGCTTGGGACTCGGGGAGGGTAAGAACAATAATGCATGTAATGCTGATTTTGGAACGGGTCCACCCAGCTTTTCCCAGGCTGGCCAGCCTTGGGAACCACTGATAGCATGGCACATCAGGGCTGGGCCCCTCTCGCCGGGCCCAGGGGCAGGGCTGCCTGCCCGCCTTCTCCATGCAAGCATGTTTGGGATGAAAGGAATCCTTCCTCCAGCCTGGGAATAGAAGAAACACACGCAAACGTTTGCACTAAGTTGCGTCCCAAGTTTGGACATGCTTGGCCACATACTGAGACGTCTCAGAGGTGACACTGACAAGCTTTAGCTCCACGCTGCCCGCTGGCAGACTTGGTGGAGGCCATATTCCGGTTTTTGTTTTGTAGTCCTGCCCTGAACTGATATCACTAGCACTTGTTTTCTATAAGCCAAGGATGAAATGCAAAAATCAAAACATAATAGGAATGAAAACCTCTTTTCACAACATCTAATATAAAGATATATGTAATATGTGCATATTTTCTGTTTGCTTTGTGTGTATATATGTGTTTGCCCATGCAGCCAAAAAAACACAGCCATTGACTTACATAGTTTTTTTTCCCTTACAATGGAAGTCAGTGAGTTAAAGCCATTCTTTAACTCTTTCTCTGCCAGCGTTTAAAAAAAAAAAAAAAAATTCCAGCCAGCGTTTTTGTTAATTTTCACAAAACTTTCTTGGCCCCCAGAATATTTTGTTATCAACACTTAAAGCCATTTTGATTTATATGTTGTTTATTGCTGATGATTGCATTATATTTCATATGCATCTGCTTACATATGATCACTCTTGCTGCTTCTTTGCCTGTGTTTTGATCTGATACTCGGGTCAGGAGATGCGCAAGTGCCCCCTGTATAACAGTGAAAACACGGAAAGCCATAAAAACTTGTCAATGGCAGTGAAGCATCTTCTCATAAATGATGAGATAACTCGTCAATGGAGAATTAAAATATCTTATTTTGTGCTCAACAGATACAGGTTTGGAAAACATTTAGGGTGAATAAGTGTATAAATATAAGTTTTGGGTGTTTAAAAATAAGTTTTGGGTGAACTATTGCTTTATGATTGGATTATCAATGCAGTTATTATTGTTTCTAGTGAATTGTGAAACAATAAGTTGGGAGGGAGCATGAAGAATAATTTTCACCCATGAATTGGCCCCTCTAAGTCCAGACCTTAAACTGACCAGACCATTGAAAATCTTTGGGATGTGCTGGAGGAGACTTAACAGAGTGCTGGACTCTTGCATTGTCATTACAAGATCTTGAACAAAAATGTATGCGCCTCTTGATGGAAATAAATGTTGTGATGTTATTTCCACCAAGAGGTGCATCAATTCTTCATGCTCCCTCCCAACCACCCTTTCCCAATTTGAGCCTGATGAATCTTGACATTGTCATCCTGGAATATATGCATGATGTGTCTTCCCACACACTCCATTAATTAGGGTTAGAAGAACTGTTGCCAAACATATGCTAGAAACATAATCACTGCAATAATGACCCAATCATCGACTCTTAAGCATTTGCATATTTACATGCAGTAGATATATAAAACTTGTAAATTTTACTTATTTTGTATTTGTCTTTAGGATGACCCTGTAATATTCTATCCAGGGTCTACAGATAAAAAATAGCCCTAATGCTAAAGGCCCATTCACTCCAAGAATGATAGTACCCACACCTATGCAAAATAATGTTCTTTGTATTATAAGTAAGTGCTGCAGTTTTGCTGCTTTAAATGCTACAGCTCTGAAAACAGGATGGATTCTGATTGGTTGCCAAATGTGCCAATGTTATTATCGTTCATCATCTGGAGAAAAAAACGTTCTGAAAGTAATTCCAACGACATGTGCCGTTATCATTATAGTTGTGGTGTGGACTTCCTTATTCTCACAGAATTAGAACAATTATTAAAACTGTAGAGTTACCATTATTGTCCATTTACAGAAATGTTAATGTGCACTGTCCCTTTTAAATAAACTAATAAATGGATAAAAACATAGATATAAGGAGTCCCAGTCTGATTCAGCAAACCTTTTGTAGATGTGTAGAACAATAACAATATGCAAATGCAATTCATCGAGTGAAACAAACCTTTAGGGCTTGGTGTATATCTGCTCTCCTGTCAATATTTTCATTATTCTGTCTTTATTTATCCTAAAAGATCTTTGAACATTCTTGAGTGGGCATATCCATCAACAGGGGAAAACGAGGGAAAGTCCGGGTCTGTGAAGCCGGACAGACTGCTTTAATTAGCCCTTATATACTTTAGGTCACACCTGGGAGAGCTGCAGCCTGGCCTGGGCTATGAGAGGCTGTTGACAGCTTGATTGGAGCTATCTGTGCTGAGGACTGGGTCTGGTGCAGGGTGTTAAAGGCAATGGGTGATGCAGAAACCCTTCAGCAGGACAGAGGTGTGTGTCTATAATATTAATAGGAGATCATACATTTTTGGACATACTTAACATTTTTGAACTTTTTATTGCAAAAATACAATATTGTATAGCTGTTGTTTTTACCAATAAAAATCACCTATTTATTTTATAAAATATTTGTCAAGTGTGTGTTTCTGTCATTCTTTAAATTCCATTTGGTTTGATATTTTATTGTGAAATGCACATTTAAAGACATTTATGTTTAAATATAATACTTTTTGGAGTAAAATAATTCATTTATATTAAAATTACCACTGGAAAATACACATTTGCTCTCCAAAAAGATCCTCCATGTAATAACTACATTTCATTTATAAATTTATTTAAAATATTTTATTCAAATTTGTTTTAGTTATGATGGTTGTTTTTAGAAATTCTTGGGTGGTAAATGTAATTTTATTGTGAAATGCAAAGACATTTATATATTTTTAAATATTGTACTTTTAAAGTACAAAAAGTTGTAATTTGTCCATAATTTTAAATTGTACACATTTACATAAAATTGAATATTAAGTTCATGGATTAACAACAAAATATAGTTCGACACTGTAGAACTTAATGTGTGAAAGGTCATAAGTGCCCTCCTCCACAATGCCAGCTTGATATTTCTAAGGTTTTATATCCTGTTAGTTAAATTGGACTTGCAACAACCAAACAATGTGAAGAATAGGGTACTGCGGCCACAGTAGTGTGGGTGACGCTTGGCTCACGGTAACCTCCCAGTGGCAGCGGCCCTGCCGGCCCTCCCTGTGTTTCTGGCCGTCTCTCACATGGTGATTGGGTTTCAGCGCAGGGCTTGAGCTGTGGGAACGAGTCATCACACTGGCGGGCTGCCTGGGAGACTGTGCTACGCTCCACCAGGGGGAAGGCACATGACAAAGGGGGGGTTTTGTGAGCCCAAACAATGTGCTGTCTTCACCGTTTAACCCAGGAAATTCACTACAGCTGGAGGCTCCAAGTAGATGAGGAGCCCATGTGTGAAAGTGTGTCTGTCTGTGTATGCATATATTAGTTCAGTTTGTCAACATACTGTTTTGAGCTATATGACAGACTCCCCATAACAACTGAAATAGATTCGGACCGAATGTGATGATTGGACGAACATTTTATGGCCCTATGCCTTCCACAGACGATATATGGGCTACATATAATTTATACATTTAGTGTTAAAGGACCTTAAGTAACAAAAAAATTTTCTGGAACAAATCGCCCATCTTTAACAGTAAAATGTATAGGCTTAAGTAATATAATTTTTTATTAAGGTAATTGCTTCTTAAAACATGTAAAAATACAGACTATGTTGTCTTTAAAATATACTTTTTTATATAATATATACGGTAAGGCAATATTGACCAATTTTAACTTTTTGTTTATTGTTATTAAAACGACTAGAACTTTGTAGGTTGAAGAATATGGTTTTGTTCAGTTTTATTTTACATATAATACGTTTAAATAACATTTAAGTAACCTAAAAGTAAAAAAATACCAGTTTGTCGATTGCAGGCTACACAAATTTGCGCGTGAGGTAACCATAGCAACGCAGCTTGATCGCTGTCTGTGTTGGATGGCAAGTCGACAAAAACATTATGTCGTTATTTTCATATTAATATAGATTTAAAATAAATATATACCATTAATTGTTGTTCTATTTAAAACGTCTTCAGGATATTTGAAGGTTAGCTAACTGTGCAAAGAGAAGCTAAAACAGTTTAGGATGCGCGAGACTAGCAAACTGACAGGAATTCCTTCCGTAATAATTCGCGCGCTGAATAAACTACAGTACGTTACATTTTGGCAAGACACTCGGCATCCTGAAATTAGCCTTGCTTGCCAGAAACCCTTTACCTAGATTTCCTGCCTATCTGCACCCTCTGTCCAAGCTCTGTCAGGCTGTGAAACACCGTCGCCTTTCTCAATTATCAGGGGAATGAAGTTTGAGACCTCCATTCGGTGGCTCGGGGCGTGTTTTCTTTTTTTTTTTTTTTCGGTGGGTGTTCCCAAAGCAGGACGTGGGCGTGAATGCGAGACTGAGGCTCCAGCGGTTCGTGGGAAAGACGCTCAGAGTGTTTGGTGACTGTACCTGTGCGCACTGCATCATGAAGCGGCCTTGTGAGGACAGCACGTCCGACAGCGACATGGATGAAACTATTGATGTGGGCAGCGAGAATAACTACTCGGGGTAAGCAAGGATAGCATGGGATGCTTGTTTGTTGTTCTGTAGCTGAGGATTCACTTTTAGGTGAAAGATCTTAAGATCTTTCCCATTGGACATTTTTACATGTATAAATATATATAGGCCTGTAATATAATTAAATTGATTATTTAAAAACATTCTAGTTCATTTATAAGTGTATTCATTATAATTAATAATTAATTTTAATATTTTAATCTTAGACATTATAATTAACAAACATTAGTATACTCAACAGGTGAATAGTTAAAATGTCACTGTTTAATGTAATTTATTAATATAGTTCATATATGGCGAATGTACATAAACTACTATAGTTAACTAAATAAAGTTTGTAACTTAGTTGTATATTGTCATGTTACCTAAAACATTAGGCTATTTAATATGACTAAATCAAACTACAGTAGATTGTACCAACAATAATTTGATTGGTTTGATCAATTGGAAATGGATCCTAAATGTACCAATTGTTTGTTATAATGTGTAAACATTTTTTACATTACTAAACATTATTGTAAAGTTATATAGGCATTTCTATCTATTTGAATGTAGGCTATAGATTTAAATTGACTTGTTTATGCTTGGTAATGAATTACAAGTGAAAGTTTTAGTGAAGTGTTATCTGTTATCACTCTCAAAAATTTTAGGTAACCTGGTTTTGTTGGTTGAAAATCGAAAATATAATTCAATAGGACTTGATCAAAAAAGTTTTTTTAATGAACACTTTTTACAATGTACAGTGTACTGATAAGTTTTCATTCCCCCCAAAGTCAAAGCAACGGTTCATTTATAAGATGTGGCTCACCTACTACAACATCCCAAGTCATGGCCAGAAAGAAGCGGAGAGGGGTAATTCATAACTTTTCAGATCATTTTCATATTTGTTAAAATCTTTCAAATACTTTATTTAGAATACTGACACATTGTTGATTATTTTATATATTTCAGATCATCGAGAAAAGACGGAGGGACCGAATAAATAATAGTTTATCAGAGTTACGTCGTCTGGTGCCAACAGCATTTGAGAAACAGGTGAGTTCACATCCCTGTGTGCTTCATTCTGCTTTATGAAAGTATTATTTAGAATTATAATAAATTAAAAGTAAGTGGAAGAGGATGTTGCCACATTATTTAATCAAAGCTATCATATTAAAAACATATCCTATTTCACCTCCCAAGGGATCTGCCAAGTTAGAGAAAGCGGAAATATTGCAGATGACAGTGGATCATTTGAAGATGCTCCAGGCCACAGGAGGAAAAGGTAGACTGCTTGTTATTGGCTCCTGTTTTGCACTCCACCTAACGCCGTAGTGAAACTTGAGCACAGAGTTCCCTTTTGACCAGATTAAAGTGGAAATCAATGTTAATGGTAGGATTGAACTCGTGGGAAAGTGCCGGCAGGACAAAAGAAGCACTTGACCCTGGGATTGTGTTTGCTTTCATAAATCCATGGGAGGGGAGTGGGGCCACATTCACAGGCTGCACTGTTGGGGGTTTGTTAGGGCTTTCCAATGAGTGTTAAAACCGAAGCAGAGGGGAGACAAAACAAACATACAAACAGGTCAGGTCACAATCCTAGTCTGCTTAGGTTTAGCCTCTCCAACACAGTGGGGTTGCATTTGATTCGTCACGATTAAAGCCTCACTTCTCTCTGTCTCTTTCAGGATATTTTGATGCTCATTCCCTGGCCATGGACTTCATGAGCATTGGCTTTCGGGAGTGTCTGACCGAAGTGGCGAGGTATTTGAGCTCCGTGGAAGGTCTGGACTCCAGCGACCCGCTCCGCGTCCGCTTGGTTTCTCACCTCAGCAGCTGCGCCTCGCAGAGGGAAGCGGCCGCCATGACCACATCCATAGCCCATCACCAGCAGGCCCTCCACCCGCATCACTGGGCTGCCGCTTTGCATCCCATCCCCACTGCGTTTCTGCACCAGACCGGACTTCCGTCCTCAGAGAGTTCCTCTAGCAGGCTGACCGAGGTTCCTCAGAGGGGTGCAGCCCTGCTGACCTCCTCCTTCACCCACAGTGACTCCGCACTCAGAGCGCCCTCTACAGGCAGCGTCGCTCCTTGCGTGCCGCCGCTCTCCACCTCGCTGCTTTCAATATCGGCAACCGTTCACGCGGCGGCCGCCGCCGCTGCAGCGCAAACCTTCCCTCTGTCGTTTAGCGGATTCCCGCTCTTCAGCCCCAGCGTAACGGCATCTTCGGTGGCTTCTTCCACCGTGAGCTCTTCCGTTTCCACCTCCACCACATCCCAACAGAGCAGCGGGAACAGCGGGAGTAAACCATATCGACCGTGGGGGACTGAAGTGGGAGCGTTTTAAGTGTTGGATTTGCTCTCGTTGCATCTGGACGTGTTCCACACTTTGTACATAAAGGAAAGAAAACAGCTATTGTGCCTGCTTTGGTCAGCACTATGGGCTTTTTTTTCCTCTACACTTCCTGTGCACATATGCCACATCACATCTGGGAGGGAAAGAAAGACAGACTTTTACACATCACACTGCGTGGACACCCGTAAGGATGAAGAGTGATTGTCATTTTTAAAGAAAAATACTGGTTTAACTTTGTGTAAAGGACTACGCTATGGGATAGTGCCTGCATAAACACTGCTAAAATGCTGCAATTGATGTGTATGCTTTGATATTTCTCCACTCAAAAGCATATTGTCAGATTTTCACAAACACACACACACTGTAGAGTTTTTTTTTTTAAAAAAACAGCTTGTTCAAAGACAAACCAAAGGTTTTGCAGATAATCGCTAAAGTGATGTGTGGATCAGTTTTGTAATCTTTGATTTAACAATCCAGTTTGTAAATCTGTACATGTGTAAGATTGTAACTAGAGTTTATATTGAAATTAGATGACTTAATTGGTATGATGCACTTCAATCACTACTGGGTTTTTTTTTGTTTTTGTTTTTTTTTTTTGGTGGAGACGGGATCTTCTCCACTTTACACAATAGGCCTACTGAAATTTGTTAAAAATAACATTCACTAATACTCATTTGTGAGATTTTCTACTACTGTAACTTTGTGACCCTTTTTAATAACCCTACCATGCTCTGTAAGATGTAACCTTTTTCTATGCAAAAAAGAACAAAAACTGATGTGTGAAGTGAAACTGAAGTGTTTTCTTTCATTCTGGCACATATGCCATAAAACCATCATTCCATTTGCCTTCACCACAACAGATCGTGGAATGTTATGAGAGAAAGTAATTGTTTTCCCATAGCACAATTTGAGTTCTTGAAATTGTATGGTCGAAAAAAATATTTGCGTTCTTTTATGTGTTTTTCCAATAGTCAAACAAACAACTGCAATTATAAGTGCTTCTTGAACAGTTATAAATCTGTCAACAAACTTTAAAGTAAGCTGCAGACACATTTATTGAATAAAACGCATACATCAACAGTCAAAGTTGTTACAGTCACCAGCAATTTTTAAAAAAATATGTTCCCTTTTGTTTATGAAATGTCTCAATGCCATTGTATATTGACGCTGCAACAATGTTTTAAAAACAAAAGCAGTTCTCATTTGCTGTTACTGTTATTTGAAGGCACGGTCCCTCAAGGTCCCCCTTGGTCCCTCAGGGACAGCTCAAGTCAAAACTTATGTAGCTGTTCTGGCGGGCGTGAACAAACCGCCGGTCGGACTGCAGTAGTGTGCGCCACATGAAAGCACAACAACACCAGTCACTCCTCCCCAAGATGGGTCTTTATGCCGGCCTAATCCAGTCCCTTTATGCCAGGGTCTGTTAGACAGATTTACATTAGTAAATCACTGTCACACCATTAAATTCCTTAAGAGAAAAAGTATCAGCATTTCCAAGTGAATGGGGATTAAGGCAAACAGCGCCTGCTACCCACCGGCAATCATGGGAAAAGTGCGAGGCCATAAATCCGCCGGTTATCTGCTTTAGAGCGGCTGGTTCTCACGCCGGGCCCCTGCCTTTGAAGTGGCCGTCATATATCAAGGCCGCACATGATCTCCCCAAAACATCACACGGGCAAAGAGTCATTGGTGTGAACGTGGTCAGTAAGCCTGTCAGCTTCATTACTTTCCACACATGAAAATGGTTTAGCTACTACAAGATGAGATTCATAAACCAGACCACAAGATAAAAGCAGCATATAGATATTCACAGCTCAGACAGGTCATGTTTTTGGCTCAAGGTCAAAGTGAGTTTGCACACAGTCGTTTAGACTTTTTAACCTCAACTGTTTGGGATTATCTGGAGTATTTAATATGTGTGTGTGTGTGTGTGTGTGTGTGTATATATATACTGTATATATCCAAAACTTAACCCATGGCCATGCACTGTAAAAAAAATATATATTTTGTCAAATCAACCTAAATCATTTATGTAGTTCAGATAACATAATATTTTAAGTTTCAGGTGATTAAATCAATCTCCTTTATTGTATCAACTCAATTTTTTGCATTTCAATGAACTTAAAATTTTAAGGCAAGTTAGGCAACCAGGTTACTTAATTTTTTAGGTTAAACCAACAATATTTTTTTACAGTGATTAAAACGTTACTTAAGTAGTCAACAAAGACATAAATTAACTGAGACAAACCTTGAAAAATAAACAGATTGTGGAGGTTTAAATTACTGGGGTCAAATTGACCCCAGAGGGTAAAAAGTGTTATCAGATTTGAGGGTAACAGGAGGGTTAACCAGCACTTTCTTAGGTAAGTGCACGAAGGCTACTGCAAAATATTGCTTAACAAATTATTTGACATACCTCGGAATACCATGTAAATATACTATGCATATATACATAATGTAAATAGATAAAGTGCCATAATTATTATAGTGACACTACATTAATGATGACACAACAACAAAATATTTAAAATGATTAGATGTGTGAAGTTTGAAAAGGCCCCCAAAAAAGTGATTTTTACCAGAGAAATGCTGCCATCTGGTGCGAGATCATTTAAGCTGCAACTTGTTCTAAATTCACTCACTCGGTTTTTTGTTTTTTGTTTTTGTTTTTGTTTTTGCAAATCCGTGCGAATGTAATTAAAAAAATATTTTCTGATCAAGTTTTCATTTTAGAAAACCCCACTGAATAAAAAAAAGGAAAAATAGCATATTAATGTAAACAATCATAACTGAGATGGCGTCATCCTCACCCGACCAATCACAGCTTTGCGTTCTTCACGCAGTCAAAACACGGAAGTAAACATCTGGTACTTGGGTACACACATGTTTTGCGATAAATTTGAGTTTACCTGACAAATGCATTCATTTCTTAATGTACTGTTGTATTAATTGTTGGGAATTAATCGAATTTTCGCCATTGTTGACAAGAGCTAGCCATTTTACCTCAAACAAAAGAGGTTATTATTACATGTGATTATTTGATGGACTTTAGTTTAGAGTCAATAGTACAATGACCTAGGCGCTGTTATCTCTGTATTATATAATAACGTTAGTTATCAGCGAGTATGAAGTCGTTTAAATCTCCAGGACGTCATGGATATGCGGTGGAGGTTTCACCTTTTGTGGCTTCTACTGTCGCCTGTGCTTCCTCTCAGTATTATGGAATAGCAGGTAATATTAGTTTGCATGACCATGGTTAGATGACATTGACGTAAATGCCAATGAAAACCTATTTTGTGTCTTTTAGGATGTGGGACACTTCTTGTGCTGGAGCAGAGAGAAGCAGATGTTTCACTTGTGAGAAGGTAATTAGCTTTCTTTTAGGTAATTAAATAGAGCATCTGCAAATATGTGTGTGTCATAGATTACCAAAACCATAAGAAACAAACAAACTGCTGTTTTGTTTATGTATTTATTTGTTATTGTTGTTTGTGAAATTATGTTGCTTTACAGTAATGAAAAAAAATCATCCCACAAATATTATTATAATAATATTACTATGATATACAATTAAAACTGTATTTTACAAATCACCTTTTTTTGCATTAAGAATTTAGAATATTGATGAAGTTTTCGTAATTGTCATGAAAGTAATGTTCCAATGCAGCAAAATTATATTGGACCTGAAATGGGTTCTGTTTTCTTTGAGCAAAATATAATGTATTATTATCATCATTATTCAGTAAACATCTTGAATAATTTGCTTGCAGATAACACTTTTTGTTTTGTATTTTATTTTTGAATGCATTGACATTCATATGTTTTTGAGGCCATTGTAAATCCGTGTCATCTTGCAGTGATATGAGGAGTCAGTGATGTGACTGATAGTTTAGTATCTTTTTGTCTCATGGGCAGTTTTGACTGGAATAATGGCCTCTTCGATGTGACGTGGAGTGAGAACAATGAACATGTGCTGGTGACGGCAGGAGGTGATGGATCTTTGCAGATCTGGGACACGGCCAACCCGCAAGGTCTTCTGCAAGTGCTGAAAGGGCACACACAAGAGGTCAGTTCACACAAAACAGCATGTTAAAGCTTCCTGCACTTCATAACCTCTAGACTGCTACTGTAAACATCTGGCCTTATACTGTAGGTGTATTCAGTAGACTGGAGTCAGACACAGGGAGAGAACCTGGTGGTATCAGGATCTTGGGACCACACAGCAAAAGTGGTAAGTGGAGTTTAACAGCAGGGGTGTAACAATATATCATGCCACAATATATATCGCAATTCAAAAATGCAGCAATATGTATCGTGGATAGTGACAATATGTATCGTGAATAGTTCCCCCAAAATAAAAATACAAGTTTTCAGAGTTTTAGTGTCAATACTACATTAAACTACTATGTATAATGTTGATTATAATGTATAATAATGCAACGGGGGAATATTTGTGGGTACTTATAATGCCAAATGTCTTATGTTACCTGACATTTATTTGAAATATATCTAGTCAGTGACAGAGTGCAAGAATATTCGTCTAAAATTATTCTGGATTTTCACCATTGTCCGTGGGTTACAAGCACCAAGTCCAAGCAATCCAACAATCCAGTTAACTTCCCATGGACAAAAAAAGTCCTGTCCTACAGTTTTTTTTCTTGTTCGAGAAGCCGTTTCACTAGAAGAAAAGACTATTGCAACTTCCGTTTCATGCCGAACTAAACAATGCTAAATGCAAATAATTAAATGCAGCTAACCATATACTCATGCATTGTTGGGATATCAAATTAAACAGATTTGTTTTACCTTTAAAAGAAAGACGAAAACATTCTTTCATGTGCATTGGTGCCCAAAACACTACTAATGAGTTTACATGGTTGTTCTGTTTTCTACACAGTGGGATCCAGAGTGCTGTCAGTTAGTGAGCTCCCTGCAGGGTCATGAGGGTGTCATATACAGCACCATCTGGTCTCCTTATATCCCAGCATGCTTTGCTTCAGCCTCAGGTAGGATAATGAGCTGTATCTGTTCTCCCATCAAGCTTGGAAGGATTGCTGCTTTCCTTCGGAAAATTGCTGTGTTGGGATGCAGACTAGAAATACTAAATAATCTAGGGCTTATCAGACATGCATATGCAAGTTTGTAGAGCATGTGGTAGAGCAACACCAACGTAAACTCACACAATGGGTTTAATTCCCAAGGAATGCATGTACTGATTTAATTTTTTGGGGGAATTATACTGTGTATTATACTATCAATACAGGTTACCAGTTCAAGGGGCTTTTTGCTAATTATATTTTGAGGGATGGAAGAGGACAGACAATTTTGATGAGAAGAGGAGGTTTGGGATCTTAAAACAGTTGTTTTACTATCATTAAGAAATTAGATTTTATTAATAATTATATATATATATGTATATATATATTGCCCATTTTTATTTAATATACAGTTTTAGTATTTGTGTTTTTGTCATTTATTCGGTTTTTTTATGTGTCCTTAGTTTTTGTTAATTTTTATTTCAGTTTTATTTAATATTTTTAGTTATTTTAGTACATCAAATTAAACTAAATGACAGTGTTGCCTTGGCAAATAGCTGAAAGAAAACAAGTTTTCTATTTTATTTGATCAGTTAACATTTATTTAATTTCAAGTATTTTATTTATTTATTTTATTAATAATTGGCTCATTAAAGTTGCATTAGAGGCAAATTATACACTAGAGAGCAACTTATAAGTTACAATATATAAGGAAATGCATTGTGTATTGAGACCTTTAGCACCATTTCAAAAT